CCACTGCAGACAGCAGATCTTGAAGCTATTAATATGATAAGAGGGAACCGATTACATGGAACTGTGTGTGACCTCCTCCCTGGGGGACAGACAACCGAAAAGTGGGTGAAGGGAGAAGTCGGACAGGGCAAGATATGACAAAATACCCATTTATAAACTATCAAGGGCTCATGTGGGAGAGGGGAGCGGGGAGGGAGGGGAAAAATGAGGACCTAATGTCGGGGGTTTAAGTGGAGAGAAAATGTTTTGAGAATGAAGTACAAATACGCTTTACACAATTGATGTGTGTATGGATTGGGATAACAGTTGTATGAGCCCCTAATAAAATGCTTAAAAAAAATAAAAAAAAAAATATGATAAGAAATACATTATAATAGTAAGTCCCATGAACAAAATTCATTGAGGTAATGGATTATTCATAAATAATCTATAGTATATATAATCTTCTTAAGTCACATATTATTTTGAAGCTCATTGAGACTCTCTACAAGAATATATTGAAGCTCTAGTAATTTGCAAATTTCTTGAGCAGACTAATCACATTTACCCTATACTCAATATAATTTGGGTTACTTAGCACAAAACATATATTAAAAATTATTACTATACAGAATTGTTTGCCAAGTTTCATACAAAATTATCATAGACAAAAGCCGGCAAACTTTACTTGGGTTATAGGAAGATGATAGTCTATTGTATGCTCCTGTTAGGTTACATCTTAGGGAAGATTTGTGAAAATTTCAGAAAGCCATTTGTAATTCCTCTCATTTTTTATCTCCCATAATAATCTATATACCTGTGAATCAAAATTTCAACAATGGTAATCCATGCTTTAGGCACCTAGTTGAGTGAGGTGGAAGCCTTTGGAAGGCTTATTGTAATAGCATACTCTATAGGATTTAAATGAATTGGAACCCAGGGAAAAGACATTATGTGTATGATTCTGACATTCACAAAATTCTATCGACAATGAGTATAAGAGTAACTTCCTAATGCTGATACTTAGCAGGTTGGCTTCCAAGATGAGAGAGAGAGAGGGGCTCATATAATGAAAAATCATTTGTAGATTGAAAACAACTATGGAAACTATATATAAGTACATACGTCAACCAACCAGTTTGGCAAAATGTCAAGCGAGCAGAATATGTCATGAAGCCACTCTTAAATCATGCCGTGTAAACCATAACCACAAATCTTGGACTAGCATAAATCAGACTTTACTCAAGACAAAGAAGAGGATGTTACCCCTTCCATGAATAGTACGTTGGCAGAGTCTTGTTGGGGACCAGTGTGGTATTGCCAGATCATGAAAACCTTGATTATCAAGTTGGAAATGACAGCTGTCACGGGGTTGGTTACAGAGTCCGAGGGGCACAATGTTAAAGTGTTCAGCTGATCATGAAATGGTCAGTTGTTCCAAGCTACCAACCACTCCGTGAGACAAAGATGTGGCAATTGGCTTCCATAAATGGGGCAGTTGTACTCTGTCCTATAGAATCACTCTAAGTCATCATTGTCAGAATTGACTTGGGGGAATTGTATTTGATTTGGTATTGAGTTTGCTATGGAAAGTCATTTAAATTATTGTTGCTTTCAGATAAGTAGCAAAATGTAATAATGAGAGTTAGTCCTATGGTTGTTCTATAAACAATGGAAGCCTGGATAAAAGATATTCAGGAAGTTTCTCTCAAGCGAAATCACATGTGACAGAAAGAATTTAAAGTTAAAAACCCACGGTCATCAAGTTGATTCGGACCCATAATGACTCTCTAAGAAAAAGTCAAATGGCTCCTTAGGGTTTTTGACACTCAATCTTTATGGGAGTCTCATCTTTCTTCCTTGGTGCAGCTGGTGGACTTGAACCACCAACTTTAAAGTTCACAGACGAATGCTTAACCCACTGCACTGTCCGGGCTCCTGAAAATGAACAGTAAGGGGAAATATTAGAGTCACTAGGATAGAATGAAATAATTTATATAATGATAAATAGCATCAGAGAGGAGTCAGGAATAAACATTTTCTATCATTAGTAGCAAACCACATCTTAATCATCAAATCATGGTCTTAATCATAAAATGTCACTCACAACATCACAACTTCCACATTGCCTGCTTATCAAGATAAAATTCAATGCAAAGAGACTGTGATGAAGTATAATAGTGATTTTGAATTAATGAGATATTTCTAAATGTTCATAACTAAAACATAAAAACAGAATATATTTTGTATTTCCCAATGCCAGATTTTTGCTATATTTACTTTTAAAATAAAAATGCAGTGCTTTTAAGTAAACTTCATGTATATATACATTATGCAATGTAAGGTAAGGAACACAGGTTGGGAAGCCTTATGATTGCTTCCTTTCTCATTCTAACTAACTGGGAGGGCAACATTTTTATATATCTAAAAGTAGAACTTAGAGGTTAAAAATAAGAGGGAAAAACTCACCTTTAAAAAATATAAAATAAAATGCCTCCTTATTTAGTAAAACAGCTGCTGTCCTGACTGCTTCCGTTTATGGTTGAATAAAAATTAAAGACATGATACCCTGAAGAAAAGTTTTCAATTATATAAAATGAATAAACCATGATAGCAGAATGAACTGCCAACAAGGTATTGCACCAGTACATGCAAAAAATATATTATTTATATTGTTTTATTTTCTTTCAGCTACATTTTAAGACAGACCCCTCAAACGAACCATATAAAAACCTGAATATTTTATATGGCAATTATTAATAATGTGGCCATCAACCCAGTCAATTAAGAAGCCACATCAATTTGTCTTTAATATGACTCAAAGCAACAGATTGACTATCTAGCCTTTGTGCTTTCGTTTCCTCTCTTGTATTTCCCTGCCATATGGCCTGCGACAACGCAGGAAAAATGAAGTGATTAACTCTACCTGCCTCAAAGATAGTAATACTTAATAAATGGGAAGTAGGTGTATGTAATATTTACAAGCTATAATCACTCATGAGATTTGTTTTGGTCTTACAAGCATATCCCCCAAACCTAAAGCAAGCCTACTGTTATTTAGCCATATTTCTGACTGATAGTGAACCTTGTATCGTGTTTCCAAAATTATAAATCATTAAAGAAGCATACAGACTCATTTTTTTACTACAAAGCAGCTGGTGGGTTTGAACTACTGACCTTGCAACTTGGTTTCTAACCCACAGCACCACCAGAGCTTATCTTAGCAGTATATGTGCTCTGTATGTGTGTTTAACTGTCCTAACTATAAGGCATTATAATGGAGTCCTGGGTTACACATTGGCCTACTAACTACATGCCCAGTACTTTGAAACCACCAGCCTCTCTGTTGGAGAAAGATGAGGCTTTCTAATTCTACATAAATTTAGTGTCCAAAACCCATGAGACCACTCTGTCTCACAGGGTCACTCTGAGTTGGAATTGACGTGATGACAGTGAGATTATTGGTTTTGTTTTTGTTCACTCTGGTTAGACCGTCTTATTCCTAAAATAGGTTATTCTATTTTATTTTAAAAAATCAGTCTAGCAATTGTGTGGTATCGTCATTATAGTAAACCATAATCATTCTACCATTCATAAACTCTGTCTCGGAATTTCCCCCTTTAATGGGAATGTCCCTACCGCTTGTGAAAGTGCTATTTCCCAACCGCGTCTCTGCTTTTTGTTATGAGTCACAGTCGACTTAATGGCAGAGATTTTAGTATTTGGGAGAGCCCAGAGGCAGTGGTGAGTTGTTTACTTATGTGCTGGAATAAGGAGGACACCACAATCTGTCTGGGCAATTTACTCTTTGGTCTTTTCATTGACTCTTAATGAAGAGGAGTTTGGTAAGAAGCAAACTAAAAATCCACATGAAATGTGAGAGCAAGTTCTGAATTTGTACCAGCCACCACCCCTGCAGTGACTCAACTCTTCAACTATGATGGAAACTACTCAGGCTTACTAAGTATTCTTCAATCTCACTTTCATTAGGTTGTGGACAGAAAAACAAACAAACAAAACAAAAAAACTTTTATTGAGTTCACTCAAATTTGTTGTTAATAGCATTATGGTTGACACCTTGCCATGATTGAACTGGTACTGAATCTGAAGGAAGAAAGGCATCATGGATGCTTAATTTCAGGTTTAACACTGTCATCTGTCTTTATGGAAACAAAGTCTATCCACCTACACTCTGTATTTATGCAGTCTGCAATTTCGTTAAAATCATTTCCCATTCCTTTCTTATAGCACTACATTAGTGGTATAAATCATTGCTAGGATTTTTGCAAATATTCACTTTACATTAGTTAAAATGATATAGCCATTTCTTGCCTAGTTTTCTAACTAAACATATTTCAAAGTTCATTTTGGATGGCTGCCAAGTTCTTTCTGCGATTCTGGTTATAAGTTCACATTAGAATTTGTATTACCCAAAAAAAAAAAAAAAAAAGAATTTGTATTACCCTTCAACCCGACCTTTGCCATGAGAAGCAATTCTGACTTGAAGATGAGTAGTTTGCGTCCTTATGTAATGCCATAGTAATATATTGCTTCCTACAAATTGCTGATCTAACTTTTAGAAAGAGATGCAAATAATTTGACACTTTGGTGACTATGAAAAAATGTTTCATAATTTGGTATATGCAATTTAAAATACCCATGATGTGTAATCTTTAAGCTCCTATAAATAATTTAGGAAATGTATCATTTATACCGTGTATATACATATATACTATAGTAGACACATATATACTATTTGATATATTTGATAGGATTTCAATTAAATAAAAATAGGCTAAGGGATTTTGTCTCAATCATTTAATAAATCCATAAAAGGAAATATTTGAAGCTTGATTTTCTAGATAATTATTTGAATCAAGTTATAATAAGATTTGTCAATGAAAGGTATAGTGTTAACCTATATAAAACAAGTGGTCAGACAAGGAATTGACTATTTAAGGACCCCGGAAAATGATTTTTCTCACCTCTGCCACAGTTCTGAAGTCTTTGATTTTAAAGCCCAAATAATTCCAATCTCAGCATCCACCCACCTCCAGATGCTTGTTCTAATACCACCTAAATTAAATAACATAAATAGAAATATAGAGTGTGTTAGCTTTTTGTCATCAGAGAAGCTCTTAATTCAGATGTTCTCAGCACTAGGTTTATAAATCAAAATGTATGAATAGTATCATAAAAGTATTCCAAACTGGCAAATAAAGCCAAAAGCGACTGATGTATGTTTTTCAATGTTTTACAAGGGTAAAGCCTACTGAAAATTGTTTAGAAGATTTCACCTTAGCGGAATTTACAATTTATCCTGGATTAAACTTTGAGATAATGAAGTTACAAGTTAACTTTTAAAGAGGCAAGAGTGGGTTATGCATTGGGCTGTCAATCATAGCATTAGCATTCTGAACCAGCCACCACTCTGCAGGAGACAAATGGGGCCTTCATCTCCCTTGAAGAGTTGGGATCTCACAGAGGAAGTTCTACCCCATCCTAAAGGGTCACTAAGAGTCAGCACTGATTCATTGGGAGTTTGTTCGTTCATTTGTTTGTTTGGTATCAACAGCCTAGTTTCGCAGATGCTCTTTGAACCAGTCAATATATCAATCTATTATCAATATCAACTTCATCAGTCAGTGAAATACATAACTTTTATGTGGGCTTTTTTTACATATGGCTGTTATGGTTTTTAGCCTTTTGAAATGGATGGTTGAAACCTAGAGGCCACCTGTGCCAAAAAAAGCTTCGAAGAGCGGAGGACACTAAGCCTTGCCCTAGTGGTGTAGCGTTGGCCTGCGGTCCTCAAGAGCCACGGTTGGAAATCGTTAGCCGCTCGCTGGAGGAAGACGGAGCTTTCTGCTCCAGGAACCAGTCTCCGACATGGGATGGGGCCAATTATAGGACACCTATCCTGCACCGTCGCTGTGAGTGGGCATCACCTGGATGCCAGTGAGTTTGGTTTGGGTTAGGCATGCAGGGTCCCGAGGTTTCCTGGCTGTCAGTCAAAGAAAGACCACACAACAACCAAGTACATCCTGCTGCATTTGTGCTTGCTGTGCAGCTAGTTCATGCCTCAGCCAGCTCCTCTCCTCTCCCTGGAGAATGCCATGCCTCACCTTCAAGACAAGTTCATTATCTCCTTCTCTGCTTACTTTCCCTTCTCTCCAGCAACTTGCAATCCCCCAAGTTTGTTTTCCTTCTTGTGCGATCAGACAGAATCTTATTCATATTTCCTTCGCATTGCATATTTTTATTCTTCTGTGTCTTTCTTTATGCTATTGCATCCTCAGGCTGATCATTTGTGCTCAGCTGATTCCTAACCACGTGGATAAGAGGAGAATGTGTGCACCCTGAAAGCATGCTCTAGCATAATAACAGGGAAAGATCGAGTAGTGAAAGAATGATTTCCTGTTGGAAAGCATCCTATTCCCACAACGGTCACTCAGGCAATAGGATAAAAAGAGACCAGAGGTTGAATTGGAAAGGGGAGTAGGATGGTACGAGAGAAGGCAGTATCTGCAGGGTTCTTACATAGCAACGAAATGCATTCAATTTGAGAAGCTTGTTCTACCATCTTCATAAAACCAAGTTAGAGGACAGCAAATGGATTCCAGTGTGTGTCCCAGCAACACAGAACGCCATAAGGGTTTCACTGGAGGATATTTCGGAAGCCATTTTCTGTTCTTTTCTAAGATCCTCTGGGTAGTTTTGAATTGTTACGCTTTCATTCTTCGGCAAGCCCTTCACTGGTTGTAGCAGTCAGGAACTTCTTAGCATTTTCAGCTAGGGTTTGCCTTTGTGGAAGTCTGAACACGATTCTTTAAATTCATGGTAATAATGCCTAAAAACATGACTCATGTCAACAGGCCGTGTTGCCGCTGAGTCTATGCAATGACATGGGGTGTGCCTCGCTACCCGGGAGCACTTTAAATAAGGGAATGATTTCCAGTTACCGTAGTTTGGAGTGCAAGAGAAATGGACTCTTCTCAATTTAATTCTGAATATGGAATAAAGCGTGCTTTTATTTTTTTGCCATCCTTCTCTTTAGGGACTGTGTCAGACTCACTGAAGAGCAAGGAGATAAAAGTAATAGACAAACTTTTGGGTAGAATTTTTTCAAAGAACATTTCTTTTTGAAAGTGTGCGGTTTTTACATTTTTTATTTTTTTGAGTTCATGTGCATTGCATTCCTTTTCTGTGTCAGAGTTGCGCCTGCTCCTGAGTTGTGCCTGACTTTCCCCCTGTCTTTTCTGTTTCCCTTTCATCTCTCTCCTTGTTAACTTGTGTCTTCTGTGCAGGATTAGACCTGAAGGTTTCACTTTTTTTTCCCCCTCTCAGTTTTTCTTAAACCAAGAGTGGCTGCATTCGGGTAACTGCTTGGGGAGGGAAGAAGGGGAAGAAAGGGAGCAAAGGGAAGGGCATGCTGAGAAGAAAGAGCCCGGTAGGAGCAGAGTGAAGAAGGCAAAACTCCGCTCTCAACTAACACAGGGTGTCCTGTCCTTTGCATGATCTGGGGACAGATTTGGTGCACTAGAGGAAATGACTCTGAAGTTGCCTTTGAACTCCTTTTTATTTATCTGGGATTTTTGCATGAAAAAGTCCCTTTTCACAGGAGATGGGATTAGTACATTTAGAGATTTGAACTCTGGTTTGAAAGTAATAATGACCTAGCCCCAAACTTTTTCAAATAACTAAAGGAACAATTAGGTAAATCTTCAAATACCCATTTATCTGAACTGCTAACGTGTCCATGTTCTGCATTGAACAAGACGTTCATGTTCTGCATTGTGTGCACATCCTCATTTTCATGCTTGCCTACACTTGTTCATATCCAGTAATCTTAAATTGTTGGATGTCATACAGCACCCTTTTAGTTGTTTGTTTAATGAGAGAGGGAAGCACTACATCTTAGCTTTGCTCTGTTTGCAAAATTCAGCTGCTGACCCATCAGATTTCCCTGCGAATTTTTCCTCTTTTCTTCTGATTGAAAATTAGATTGAATTTCTCTAGTTTCTCTCCTTAGAAGATGTCAATTTAATTATTAATTAAAGAAAAGGAGAGGGCCTGATCATTGTTTTACCCGGATAATCACCAGCACTCCAGGACATCTACTAGAATTAGTTTTCAGTGGGATGATTATGATAATATTGAGAAAGGATTTTTTTAATGCTATTCTTAGAAATGGGTCAGAAAAAAGAAAGAAACATATTTCTATATTGAGAGGATATGTTAGTCCTGGTAGACTAGAGAAACAAATCCATAGAAACTCATATGTGTATAAGAGAGCGTTTTATGTAAAGGTTAATTGTATATTAAGAAAGCATCTCAATCCTGTCCAATCTAAGCCCATAAATCCGATATTAGCCCTTATGTCTGATACCAATCTATCAAGTCCTCTTCAGACTCAGTAAACACATGCAATGACACCAAATGCAGGGCTATCACAGGCCTGTGGGTAGAAAGTCTTTGGAGCCAGTTATAAGCATCTCAGCACTGGCAGGGGCTCTATGTAGCTTCTCCGGCTTCAGAGCTCTGGTTGCATCAGGGTGGGTCCACGTGACTTCTCTAGCTCAGGGCACTAGCATAGACTTCCATGTGTCTTATCAGTTGCAATGTCTCACAGGGAGTCAGCCTTGTCAGTAGAGTGCCTCGCAGGGAATGAGCCAGTGAAACAGGTGTCTCCTGCCTCCAAGGATGAAATACTGGATTTCCCAGAATTCTCAGGAGAAGGCCAGGCCCACACAGAGGCCTCATTGGCTAAGATCTGATTTACAGTCCAGACTCCACCCCTTCACCCTTAATCCTCTCAAGTCCTAAATTGACACCAGATTGTGTAACTACCACAGAGAAACAAGAATTGTAATCAAGTGTTGTTTCCCACGCGCCATCCTGCATAATGATATGGGATTTTGAGTAGCAATGAAATCTATTTGATTTTTCTTTTACTCTTGGATATATTTTTGGAGCTCCTAGGTGGCATGCCTGGCCCCTAGTACAAAGGTTGAATGGCTCAATTTCACCCAGAGGCATCTGGAAAGGAAAACTTGGGGAGCTAGAACATTGGCAAACCTATGGAGCACAGTTCCACTTTGATCCACCAGGGGGCACCCTGAGATGGAATCAGTTGGAGGGAAACTGACTTACAGCTCTTGAAACTCTACTCTCTTGGAAAAATGACTTAACTAAATCACACGAACTGTGATAGTAGAAAGCAAGCTAGAATATGGAGAAGGGACAGGATGTTTAGATAGTTGGTACATTATGTATAGCCTTTTCTTCTCTCTGCCAGCAGGATAGTTGCCATCAATTATTAAAGAAAACTGCTTGGATTGTGTTTGCCTTTCCATTATTCCAGTGAACTCTGCTTCTCATTATTACAGATACAGTAGATCCCTTGAATAACTTATTAAAACATTTGGATTCTCCACATTTATGCTGAGGGTTCATGGTATGTGACACTTTTTGATGCTCTTTTGAGACAAGCATTATCCCACTCATGAGGAAGCTGGTTCATGAGAATCAGTCTGTGGCAAAGGAAGACATAAGTAGTTTCCACCAACTCCGACAAATATGCAGGTCAACGTGGCTTTGTTTGCATCTACTGGTTCCGTTTTCAGAAACATGTGTAGTAATAAACTCTTGTGGCTTTGCAGAAAGTAGAGCCCCCAAGCCAGCTATATTATCTATACTTCAAAGTAAAGAAATCTTGAGGGGGCAAAAAATAGATGATACTTATTTGGATCTGGGGAAAAGTATCATTTAACAACGGTTTTCCTTGATTAGGAGATTTGATTGCAGAGCAGCTAAAAAGCTTGAGCTGCTAACCACAAGGGTAAACGTGATAGTCTGCTTATGGATATACCCTGACCTTGAACAAACAATTATATCGATGTGAAGGAGAGGGGTTGGAGTGGAGACCCAAAGCCCGTCTGTAGACAATTGGACATCCCTTCATGGAAGGGATGATTCAGTTAGGGTGTAGTTTGGCACAGATAAAATACACAACATTCCTCAGGGTCTTTAATGTTGCTCCTCCCCCACTATTATGACCCCAGTTCGACCTCACAAATCCTGCTAGACTGGAGCATGTACATTGGTCCACATAAGAGCTTTAGACACACGGAAGCCAGGACAGATAACCGTCTTAGAAACAGTCATGGGAGTAGTGATACCATGGGAATATTGGGTGAGGTTGGGGAAGAAAGGTGGAAAAGGGGGAACCGATAGCAATGATAGATGTATTAACTACCCCCCAACCCCCAGAGGGACCAGTAGTGGAAATGTAGGTGAAGGGATACAGTGGATGGTGTAAGCTATGAAAATTAATAATAATATCTAATCTATCAAGCATGCTAGAATGAGGGGAAAAAAGAGGCGCTGATACCAAGGGCTCAAGTAGAAAGAAAATGTTTTGAGAATGATGAGAGCAACAAATGTACAAATGTGCTTGTTATAATTGATTTGTGTATTGTTATAATATCTGTAAGAGCTCCCAATAAAATGATTTAAATTATAAATAAAAAAATAGTTTAAAAAAAACAACAAATTTACTTCTTGGGGAAATTTACTTTCTTTCAGGAACTGGGCATACTCAAATAATAATGCTGGCATTAAATAAAGATTCATCAAAGACACATTATAAATACCTTTGTTTCAGATAATAATTCATTTTTACTTGTGAAATTGGGGGAAAGCACAGTTATGAAAATTATATAAGTTGCAAGTTAGTATCCAAATCCTGCTGCTTTGTCTCATTAAAATATGACTTTCCTAAAGTTTAATTCATCCAAATAATACTTCTATTAATTTTCTCCAAAACTCTAAGAAAATAACCAGTTATCTATAAATATCTTAGTTACCAGTTTGAATACAAATTAACTAAAAATTTTAATTAGTAGAGCTAATCTTTTACTCAGATAAAATAATCAGCATACAAAAGAAACTTGTATAGTTTCACAGACAAATAATGAAAATTATAGGCAATTTAAATACCTTTACTGTAATTATATATTATTTCATAAACCAGGAAAACTAAAACATACCACTTTGTAAACTAAATCAAATATCTACATATCATATTAAATAAGCAAATCATGAAACTGAAATAAAGCACATGTGACATGTAGGGACATGTGAACTTTTTAATATTTTATATCAGGAAAAGTTTCTGCTTTCTTCTTAAATATACTGTTTACTTATCTAAACTATGTTTACAGGAATAAAAGATTTCCAAGGTTCAAAAATCAGGACCATATAACAAACTGAACTTTGAGCAATCCAGTCCAATTTGTATCCTATTTATCACATTTCTGATCCAACTCTAGGAAATGACTTTCTCTTCCTCTCTATCTTTCCAGTATTTCTTTTCGTAGACACAAGAAGACATACACATTCATTCTTGTCCCCTGTGTATAAGGAATCATTGCTCAAGGGCTGCATGAAATAAAACAACCTCAGTTTTCATGTGCACCGTGAAAGAAAGCCATGTTTCCTATAGGAAGAGAATTGATATTGTTGAAAACTGTTAGTCTGGGTAGACTAAAGAAACAAATCCATAAACACATATGTATATATGGGAGAGGTTTATGTACAAGAGGAATTGAACATTGAGAAAACATCCCAACCCAGTCCCGTCCAAGGCCATAAGTCTGATATTAACCTATATGTCGGATACCAATCTATAAAGTCCTCTTCAGACCCAAAACACATGCAATGATGCCTATTGCAGGATGATCACAAGCCAGTGGGTAGAAAGTCTTTGGGTCCAGTGGCGTTGTAAGCATCTCAGTGTTGGCAGGGGTCTCCATGTGGCTTCTCCGGCTTCTGAGGTCTGGTTGAGTCCATGTGACTTGTCTTCTGCAATGTCTCCCAGGGAGGAGCAGAGAGAGAGAGAAGCGTCTTCCACCTCCAAGGAGGAAGTTCCAGATTTCCCAAAATTCTCAGGAGAAGGCCATGCCCACAGAAGTCTCATTGGCTATCTCCAGATTGACAGCCTAGACTCCACCCCTGCACTCTTAATCCTTCAACTGACACCAGATTCAGTGACTACCACAAAAACCAAACTGAGAGGTTTATAAAAGCGGCTGAGTTGCAATTTCTACTGAATTCTCAACTTTGAATGGTGTTCGTTTTAACAGTGTTAAAGTGAGGAAGTTGCTTTAGAAGAAACAGGACCCTGATAGTTGGAGTGGGTTTATATGGTCCAAAGATGAGGAAGATGAGGACATGGGACCTTAAAATGCTAGGGAATCACTTCAAGAGCATCACGCTTCCTCTCTGTAGAGATGACTCCACCTTTGTTTGCTAACCTAGTATTGGCAGGACCACTATGCCCTCCACACACATTTGAGGGGCATAAACCAACTGTGGTGTGAAAATGACCTTGGGATTTTTTGTCTGGAGTACTGCCAGAGGAGATACTTACAGGACTGTGTGGAGTGTTTCCAGGAAATGCCTTCCCCACCTGTTATGACTTCTAGGTTAATACCTAGATTTAAGTCCTGGGCACGTCCAAAACATGACCTGATTTGCTGACGTTGGGTTCCTTTGCATCTCCAGTCGGAAGCCTTACCTACTGACCTTGGATTCATTCTCCTCTGCAACCACCAGTCAGTGACCTTCCTGCGGAACCTACATAGTTCATCAGCTCCTCAAACCAGGAGCTGTCTCTGTAGGGAGAAAACAAATTTAATCATTTTATTGGGGGCTCTGATAGCTCTTATCACAATCCATGCATCCATCCATTGTGTCAAGCACATCTGTACATATGATGCCATGGTCATTTTCAAAACATGTTTCTTCTACTTGAGACCTTGGTATCGGTTCATCTTCTCACTACCCCACCCTCCCTCCCTCATAAACCCTTGATAATTTATAAAAAAAATTTTCATGTCTTAAACCAACTGCTGTCTCCCTTCACCCACTTTTCTGTTGTCTATCCCCTTGGGAGGGAGTTATATTTAGATCATTGTAATTAGTTCCCTTTTCTCCTCCCACCATCCCCTTATCCTCCTGGTATCGCTACTTTCATTATTGGTCCTGAGGGGTTTATCTGTCCTAGAGTCCCAGTGTTTCCAGCTTTTATCTGTACCAGTGTACATGCTCTGGTCTAGCTGAATTTGTAAGGTAGAATTGGGGTCATGATCATGGGGGGAGGAAACATTAAAGAACTAGAGGAAAGTTGTATGTTTCATCAATAGTATACTGTACCCTGACTGGCTTGTCTCTTCCTTGTGATCCTTTTGTAAGGGGATGTCCAATTGTCTACAGATGGGTTTTGGGTCTCCACTCTGCACTCCCCCTCATTCACATTGATATGATTTATTTACTGTGGGTCTTTTATGCCTGATACCTGATCCTGTAAGATCTCTAATGGGAGAGATATACCTCGGTCCTTGGCTTCACTCAAGAAAGAATTCACTCCGAAGCCTTGATTGTGATGCAAGTGAGTTTCATGACAGATAGAAGGAGTTTCAGGTTTACACAGACACCTCAGGGCCCTTCACCCTGCATGCACGTGGGGTCCTGAGGCCAGGGAAAATCCCTGCATTACCTCCGAGGAGCAGCTTGAGAAACAGAAGGGCCGCAAGGCTCTGGATTTGGCTTTTCAGGTCCTCCGCTGGGAGGCGTGGTTGATGATCCTGGTTGACCCCATTGGCTGCATTGAATTCACCTGGCCCAGACGGGCCAATCCAGGGGGTAACACCCACCTAGGTGTACGACCCCTTCTTAGCCGGAAGCTCAAACCTCTGAGCGTGCACCATGGACACCCCAGCCCCTGTGCTAGTTACCTAGCATTTCCCCCCTGAAGAGCTATGGACCCAAATCTTTGGGGTATTGGGCGATGACATCGCTAGCTACTTCCTGCTGGCAAAATGGGCAAAGTAAGACTTAAGGTCCACACCCTTCCTAGGGTTGTCCACTCAGGGCCCAGGATGGATAAGGTGGAGGTGGTCCAGGAGCTGGTGGTTCTCAAGCTGGCACACTTGGTTCAGAGGCCTTGGTAACCTGAGCACTTCTGAAACAAACAAACAAACAAACAAACAGGAACAGTTTAGGAGAGACAGGGGTCAGGTTGTGAAGTGGCAGTGCCCTTGGAGGTGGGTTAGTGCCATGGGAAGTAAAAAAATCTTAGGACTGACAGGCATGGGTGTTTGTTCACTGTAAACTCAGGAAGGGGGTAAAAGCATTCACTGGCTTAAAGGCTGGGAGGGGTCTGCGTTAGAGTTCTCTGTGGAGCCCGTATCTGTCCTGAGGTGGCAGTGAAACACCCCAACAGCTTTCAGGGGTGCTTGTCTGTCTGCTCTCCTTCTGAGGGGTCTGGGTGCAGCAGCTTCCAGGGTTTCATCTGTGAATGGTGCCCAGGGTCCAGGGCAGGTGAGGACAGGAGAGGCAGCCCGGTATCTAGGAGAACCTCCACTGACCTTGCTGCCCCATCGATCACCTGAGGTTGCAGACCCGCTACAGCTCTCCTGCTGCTTCACTGGCCGGGCCGGGCCAATCTTCAATGAGCAGCTGCTCACTGCCCTGCAGGCACCCTCCCTCTTGGCTGTCTGCCATAGGACAAGGGACACCTGGTGGCCAGCTTGCTTGCCGGTGTGGCATGGCCCTTAGGCAGGCTTATGCCAGCTAGGGAAGTTCCATGAGCAGTGGCCAGGTTCCCGACACACATAGCACTTGGTACTTTGGTCACTGGTCTGGGGAACCTGGGAGGCGGTTGACGGGCGGTTAGCAAGTGCGGCCAGCACTGGGGCATGCCTGATGTCCTTCCTTCTCTCCTTCTCCTGGGCCTGGACTTCCCCGTCCTGTTCCCTGTGGTAGATGGCCTATTAGCACAAAGAGCCATCGCCTCTAGCGTAGCTCCTTTGGGTTTCTGCACTCGTTTTGGGAGCTTCTTGCAAATGTCCGGTGCTGCCTATATGAGAAACTTGCCCCTGAGTAGGACTTGCCCCTCCTAGGAATCTACATCCACAGCAGTAAGATTCTTCAGGGCATCCTTTAGCTGCTCTAAAAGGCCTACAGGAGGCTCTGCAGTTCCCTGGTGAATCCCTGTCCCTTGGGCATCATTAATGGCCCTTTCCCTACCTGACTTTAGTCCTCTTGTGATGCACACCAGAAAATGTACCCATGCCCACTTGTCCGCGGCATCACTATGATTCCAAGCAGGGTCAGTTAAAGTTAGTACAGCTGTTTCCCCTACAGGGTACTTTTCACTCATCACATGTAACTCCTGTGCAAACTTCCTAGCACCTTTGAGCACTTGCTCTTTCTCAAAGTCTGTCATGGTCTGTCCCAGGGTGACCATTGCCTCCTCCCAGGTTAATCGTAGGCCAGGGTGAGATGCAAGAAGTGTTTCATGGACTGGTCGGGTTTGTTAGAGGCTCTCCAAGGCACTTCTCATTTGCTTGAGTGCAATTAGAGTGAAAGGCTTGTAGACTGACAGGCAGCTCCCCAGCTGCCTCTATGATGGGTTCAGGTCTGGGGGTCCCTTAGGGGGTCCTGGGTGCACTGGGAATGAAGGTCTTTACTGCTCCTCAAAAGGAAAAATGCTCTAACCTACGGGAGCTCCGCCCACTTCCCCATCCTTCCACAGAAATGTTCTAGCTGAATCAGGCATGGAAAGGAAATGTGCCATTCTCTGGCCACGATTCTCATTTTTCTAAAAGATATGGTGGCCAAACAGAGTTGCAAAATGAAATCAGCTTCTGTTTGTCCAGCTTCCTTGGATCAAATTTATCCCAATGAGATAGGCTACATCCAAGGGGGCAATTCCTGGGTTAGAAAACACAAAACAAGGTTACTGAGAGCTTGATGCCTCTAAGGTACAGTGCATCCAGGCCCCAGGTAGGTGCCCCACCCGAGGGAGGGGTCGGGGACCAGTCTCTGGTTGACATAACCTCAAACCATCACACATGAGTCCGAATTGACTCAGTCAAAGGGATTCTCCTTATCTCTCAGTGCTTTGGAAGCTGTCACTAAGACATCTTATCTATGAATTACGGAGTCAACCTGGAATCAAGGGCCATCACCTACATGTTTACTTATCTTTTCCTTCTCCACAGCACCCTGGTGGGATAGTGGGTTGCAAACTGGTCTGTGGTCTGTTAACCACCAGCCTCTCTGTGGGAGAAGGGATGAAGCAGTAACGATTTACAGTCTCAGGAACCTTTATAGGCAGTACTACTTTGCTCTATAGGGTTGCTGTGAGATAGGGTCTACTACATGGTAGCGATTGTTTTTTGTTCTTTAGCAAATTGAACTCTACATTTAAGGTTCAATTCACAGCAGAATAAAAATGATCACTCTGGACATCACATCACAAATGAACCATCTGAGTCATAATCTCCCACAAGGCTCTCTCTTAGCACAGGAAAGCTATTTCTTCATATACTGGCAAATGCATTACCAAATTTCTCACCTAGAACAGTCCGTTGTAGCACCACACAGAAAACTCAGGGTTAACCAGTGTGATTAAACACACACACACACAAGCTCAATACATCCCGATTGTCCAGCTGTGATATTGTTGACATTCAATTCCACTTAGACCAGGATTTAACTCGCCCCATGAGTGAGGGATTAAATTTAGAATAAGGTTACAGTCCTTTTATTTATTAAGAAACATGTTCAAAATAAACCTAACAGTAATAAATAATTAACCATCAATGTCTTATTTTTCTCAAGGTTTGGAAGTCGTGTCTAAATATAATGTCGATTGCTCTCTTCAATTGTAATTAATTTTTCTGTTGACTCTTTGAGCTTCTTCTTCACAATGGGAGCCCTGAATTGGAAAGGACTTGCATGCCAGCATATTTGCCCAGCTGTGCTGTAATTGTCTTAAATGTGAACTGAGAGAAGAAAAACAGACAGTGAGAGGCTTTGTCCTCAACCCCAGACACAGAAAATGAGAGAAGCCAAAGCAAAAATGACATTTAGTGTAAAAGCATAACCCACTCCAAACGGGAAGAAAAGGGTCTTTTGTGTTTTAAATGCGACAGTCAGTGACAGCATGTACTGAAGCTGATCCTGAGAACGCCAAGCGAGGGTCTGAAATGAAGTTTAGAAAAATAGCAAATGTCCATGGCTTTAATTTTTCTATGGGCTAGGTTTGTTTAATGTTTTACTTTTTTAAATGGAAGAAGTAGGGCTATGGAAAATGATTGTTGTTGCTAGGTACTATTGAGTCAGTTCCAACCCATAGTGACCCGATGCAGAACAGAAGGCAAGACTGCCCGGTCCTGTGTCACCCTCACAATTGTTCCTTGGCCTCAGCCGATTGGTACAGCCACTGTGTCAAGCCCTCTCATTGAGAGTCTTCCTCTTTTTCACCCCCCTCCACTTTACCAAGGATGATGTTCTTCTCCAGGGCCTGGCCTCTCCTGACATGCCCAACGTCTGTAAGGTGATGTCTTGCCGTTCTTGCCCTCAAGGAGTACGTACTCTGGCTGTACTTCTTCCAAGATGGACTAGTTTGGCCTAGGACAGGGTTGAACTGCCTCTGTCCCATAAACTGAGACAGTAACAGTTTATGGGAATAGTAAGCCTCATCTTTCCCCCACAGAGCAGCTGATGGTTTCGAACTGCTGACCTTGTGGTTAGCAGCTCTACTCCAAACCACTATGCCACTCAGGCTCCAATGAAAAATAAGCAGAAAACATATATCAAATATGTTAGCAAAATAACTGAGCTCTTTCAAAGACAAATTTTGCAAAGTTGTGCCATTATTTTTAAAGCCTATACCTTAAATTCTTGCCCACCTACTTTTGTCAAAGTCCACTTTGAGAGCTACAGACCTGGTCTGTTAACAGTTCTCCACCTGCAGGTGATGATCAACGTGGCTACATCCCAAAACTTAAACAACAGCAACAGCAAAATCTAGAGCTGACTCCACTCCCAGAGAGTCTTATGAACTTGATCGGGCCTGGGGCCTAAGCCCCTTGTTTTACACATTCTCCACCAACTGATTCTGAGGACCATGCAGTCTGAATTGAGAGTGAGTGCTGGTATATTTCGGGGAGAGTCTGAATATGTCCATATTTTAATTGTTCTCCAGGTTGCTCTCAACTGTTGTGCCTCTGTTTGTTTAGTTGCTATCTTAAATTCCATGGTTACTAGTTCTAAATGTTGAACTTCTCTCAAGGGAACAGCCTTGAGTACAAAGAAAGAGCATTGTTTTTGTCCTTTCTCACTCAAAACCCACTGCCATTTGGACTCATAGTTCTTCTACAGGACAGGGGAGAACTGCAAGCCTCATCGTTCTCTCTCGGACGGGCTACTGGTTTCAAACTGCTGACCTTTCCATCAGTAGCCTAACGACTAATCCCTAAGCACAAAGCAAAAATAGGATTACTTGAGAAATCTAAAGAGATTATGCTGTAAAATGAAGGCTGCCAGGGTTGTTCCCAGAGGGAAAAAGAACGGACCCACTATTCAGATAGGATATATTTATGAGTTTTCAGGTGAGGGAAAGGAGACCCCAAATCAAAAAAAATATTTTATAGAGACTGATTTATTAATTTTAAACTGAGCAAAGAAAAAAATGAAGACAAAACAAATCATCTGGAATAAGGAGACCATCAGCATAAGGCTATAATGGTGTCCAAGGATGAACCCAGGCTGCTACTTAAATCGAATATAAAGAACCAAAGAAACTCACAAAATCATAGATGGTGCAGAGCAATTCATCATATTTGTAGGTAGGAGTACAGATAGAGGAAATGGGCTGTGGTTGGATTATGTAATCTACGGTAGATGTGAAAAGGTTAAAAGAAAATGATTAGGGCCCTCTGACCAAGATGGCTGGTGTATGGCTAAGGACTAGGAGACCCTATGACCCTTATTTCTATTAAGGGCACATGCTGGCAAGTCTCAAAGGGTGAGATTACCCACCCTGGGCAGGCAAGGGGAGTGATGGTAATCCATTTTCAACGTACTCTCTCTGAGGGCAAAGCTTTTTACATTGCTGGTCAATGATCACAGATGACTCAATGGATGCTGAATTGAATGGAGACTCAAAAATAGATTCATTTTATTATTTTTTTATTGATAATTATTTATTTTAACTTATTAACAAAGAATTTATTATTAACCCCCCCAAAATGGGCTCCCACTGTAAACCATAGCTTTCTGCAAAGCTAGTGTTCAGAATTTAAGCTCTGATGGAGAACAAACATTAGTTCTGTTTCCGGGAGGTAAGCCCAAGCATTTCAGCATTTTAGAGAAACCCTGGTGTTAATCCTTGAACAAGACAAAGATAAATCATCTAGAGGAGGGAAGCCATCAGCGTGAGATCAAGATGACCCAAAAGATTCATGGACATGAGACTAATTACACACAATGGAAAACAAAAGGAATGCACATATGATCACGATTGGCAGCATGAATTATCCAACTCATCCCTATTACAGGCATCACTGCAGACACCAGGAGAGGACCGTGATTGGGGGACATACACAATTGCAATGGAGGCACCTGGGAAAAATGTTTTTTGAAGTTGCAAATGCTAAGTGGCAGATAATAAGATAGTGAGAATCAGTTTATAGTACTACCCTTGGTAAAGAGTAAACACTTAAACATGAAACATAAAGTTACCAGGCACCTACAGCTCCCCCTTACTATCTAGATTCTGGAAAATTCCTGAAATCATAAGATTCATAGAAGTGGTATATGTAAAACTGGGCACACAAGGGACAGAGGACAGATGTAAGCCATAAAATATTTATTCTAAACCTCTTGTCATTCACCACTCATCATTTTCCCTCAGGTGACACTTATTGCCACAGGGGACGATTATATGGCCAGATTATGGAGAGAAAAACCCACAAGAAGTTTGCTCAGTAAGTGAGCCAGAAATCGACGCAAGCTGAAAGTGAACTATTACTGCACCTCAGCACTATTTATGGGTGGAAATGAGTAAGGATGCAGTTAGTGGTCGATTGCAATTACAACATGGCATAGTTGCTTAAGAAAGTAAAATGAGAAAAAGATATTCTTTTCAATAGATACCTCTGGAATAATGACATATCCATGTAAATTAAGACAAAGTTCAAGATTTCTTTACCTCCCATAAAAATGAACTCAAAATGGATCATAAATGTAAACATAAAAGTTAAAACTATATCATGTGTAACAGAATGAAATATTTGCAATCTTGGATAGACATGGCTTTCTTATATAAAACACAATTCGCGCTAATCATAGAAGAAAATAAGATCAATTAGAGATCCTCAAAAGTAGAAATATCTGATCGATAAAAGGCTTTATTCATAAAACAAAATGGAAGCCACAGACTGAAATAAAAAGCTGGCATTGTGTATATCCAACAAGAATTAATACCCACAATGTATTAAAAATCTAGAGAAAAGTTTTTAATAGACCTTTCAAAAATACCTGAATGTCCAATAAGTTTATAAAATATACTCAAAATAATCTGCCATTAGGCATATGTAAATGAAAACTTTGAGTTATCATAGGACACTTATGGGAAAACTCAAATTAAGGAGACCAATGGCATCAAATGCTGGCAAAGATGGAGCGCAATTGGAACAACCGTCAATGATCAATGTACTATCAAATAGCATGAGAGTTTTAGAAATATTCTAGAAATGTCTTATACATTTGTGAACACATATCATAAAACGTGTTAACTTCTAGCTACTTACTAAAAAGAAATAAAAACGTATTCATGTACATAGCCCTTATATTCTCACTTATCAAAAACTGGAAAAATCAAAGAAATCACAGCCAATACTCTGGATTATGAGGGGTACTAGAGAAGTTAACAGGTTGCCACAAATGAGAGTCAGAAAAGACTAAGGGACCACAGTCTATTTGCCCATGGTAGTACCTCTTGTTAGTCATGCGGACATAGCTCTTTCTGGACTTCAGTGTCTCTTTAAGCTTTGCTCTCTTGGCAGCATTCTCCCTTGATCTCTACTGCTTGGGGGAAAGTGTTACATAAATTTTAGTGTTGCTAGTTGCCCCAAAGTCTTACTTGTTCGCTGGTGCAGGCAGTCTGCCACACTGCCTCATGGCTCTCCCTCAAGCTCTCAGCCCTGCTGATCCACCTGTCTCAGTGTCTTGGCATGACTCCTCTGTTCTGCATCACAGTCTTGGCGCTACAGCCTCTGCCTCCACTTTTTCCTCCATTATATTAAGCAGCCTCGTATGTCTCACAGGTGTCTTTCAGCTGCTCTTATTTCTTGGTTGTCACGGATTCTCTGTTCCTGCTTCTGAAATGGTTAACTTTCACACTCAGCATAATGGTAAAACTGACCGATCCTCAGGTTAGAGGCCTTATTTACACGCTCCCCCAAATCAACTAGACGGGAGTAACACAGACTGTCGCAGGAAAAGCAACGTCAGGCAATTTCACAACATGAAAACGACATAAAAGAAAGAAAAAGCCAAACATTGGTCTTAACTTTTGTAAACTGAAGAAAGGGAATGGAAGAAATCATGAAGTAACGAAAGGTAACATGCGGTAAACAAAAGATTGCAAAAGGCATCTCTAGAAAATGAAGCCAAGTTTTGTAATGAAATGTGCAAAACATTGGAGTTAAGCCAAAACAAAAGGAGCAAGCATGCTTAGCCCATTTAACATGAAAGAACAAGAAAAAAAAGATTCAATTTGAAGATTGAATGATTCTATGGGTAAATATTGAATGATGGAGGAATACCAAATAAGGAATGCAGAGCTTCACTGCATACAAAATAATTGATAGATAGATACTCAATCATCTAAGAATGTAGCATATTCTGATTGTATTGAAGTACGAAACTCAGGCTGCACTGAAGGCACTGGTGAAAAACAAGGATTCAGGAATTGAAGGAATACCATTGAAAATATTTCAACAAATGGACACTTCCTTAAACCAAAATTTGTAAGACAGATCTCTGGTTACCAACTGGAAAAAATCTATATGTGTGCCTTTTCCAAATAAAGGTGACCTAACTAAATCCTTACATTAATATCAACATAATTAATGCCACATACAAGTAAAATGTTACAGAAGATAATGTGAAAAGAACAGACCAGTTGAAGGGAAACAACAATACGGACCTGCCAGGCTTTCAAGGTGGATTCAGAAGAGGACGTAGAACGAAGGTCATTACTATTAAGTTCTTATAGATCTTCAGTGAAACCCGTGTAAAGTCATATTGTACTATATTATTTGGTTTTAATTTTTCTAAGTGCCAGTTCCAATAACACCAAAATAGTGTGAAAACTGCAACGTATGGTTGATAAAAATTAAAGCGACGAAGTGTAGTTTGTTTTTAATGAAGACATCAACTCTATTCATGCTTTAGAAGAACTGATCATTTAAAATGCCATGACTTCTAAAATTATCTATAGTTATAACATAATCCAAAACAATACCAGGAACTATTTATTTCTTTTTAAAATAAGATTTGGGTAAATATTGACAGCTGATAAATTATTTTTTAAATAATTTTATTGGGATCTCTTACAGATAATATCACTATCCATAATTCAGTTAGATCAAGCATAATTGTACAATTGCTGCCACAATCATGTACAAAACATTTTTCTTTCTTCTTGAACTCTTTGACATCAGCTCCCATTATCCCCTCCCTCCCTCCCCTCCCCTCCCCCTAAGAAGCCTTATATTATATATTATTTGCTATATCTTACACCACCCAATGCATCCGTTCATCTAAAATTCTGTTATTCGTTCCCCTCGAGTGGGGTTATGCAGTCATCATTGCTATCTGCTCCCCCTTCTCCATCCCCTCCACCCTACCCTAAGGGAATCATTACTCCCACTACTATTTCTAAAGGTTTTATCTGTCTTGGATTTCATGCATTGAGCAATATTAATTATACTAAGAATATACACGGGTCTCACAAGATTAATAAGGTAAAACTAAGACCATAATATTAGGTGGAGTAAATATTAAAGAACTAGAGCATAGTTATGTTTCATCAGTGCTATATTACACCATGGATATATTTTCCCTTCCATGTGACGGACGGTCCAATTATCTTACAGGTAGGTTTGGGGTCTCCACCTTATCTATGCTCCTTCAAGTCAATGGATTGCTTGTTTTTGAAATCTGATACCTGTGCTCATTGACAACTCATGATCACACAGGCTGGTGTGTGGGCTTTGTTGCTTC